ACTCGTCTGGTCGAATTTTCTACACGAAGCTGGGTAGACATAGTTTCGTACACGAACGCTAATTGGTTGGCTCGCCCAGTGCATAGCACATGGTTGCTGTTTCACGTACACGAACGCTAATTGGTTGGCTCGCCCAGTGCAGCGCACGTGGGTTTAGTTTGTTTCAACAGGCCCAGACAATAATAATAGGCATGAAGGGGAATTCCCAAGTTATACCTTTGTCGTATAGGTAATCTTACAATATTTTCATGTTCTTTATTTTAGTTAAATAAAAGATATAAAGTGATGAATTAGTACACTAGACACATGGTTTTATTTGAACACTTTATTATGACATCGTAAAGTGATGAATAAGAACACTAAACACATGGCTTTATTCGTAGGCCTAGGCCTAGAGGCTAGGTTTAGCCTAGGTATCATCGTTCATTCGTACATACGTTTATTAAGCGTTACGTACGTATTAGGTCAAAGGTTACCACAAATTTAACCCAACCTCTATTTTACGAATCCCCCGATTTACGTACGCCCTCTGGTCCCGTACCGTACGTAAAATCGAGGTTCTACTGTAGTATTTGTTTTTATCTTTATCGTTATCTTTATTATCATCTTCATCGTTATCAATTTCATCATCATCTTCATTTTCATCATCATAATCATCATCCACACTTTCATTATCACGTACATCATTATTATCTTCATAATCAGATTGATTATCACCGTCAATATTATCTTCATCTACATATCATCATTCAGTTCTGCAGAATTTGAAGCAAAAACATAGGGCTCAGTTCAATACTGCCCGCACACAACAAAAGAAAGCAACTCATCAGGCAGCAGTTTACCCTTCAGCTATAGCTTCTCTTTTCATGCTCTTCGCTAATGACATAAACATATTCCGCAAATGTAATTGTTCATCCCATCAAATTGATTCATATGTGTATAAGATGGTTGCCTTGCAGGGGAGAGAGAAGCACGTCAAGAAATCAGGACGCAAGAAACAATCAAAAGAAAAACAAATGTAGTCATAAAGTAGACAACTTACCACAACATATGAATGAAAATCCCAATAAGTATTATTGTACAACCATATTGTATTCATGTCCTTGACTGGATAAATAATGTAATTTATTTTGATAATTCTTTAGCTTCTTTCATAATCTCATTTGATGTGAGATCGAAAGTTTGACATGGATTGTTTGAATGATGGGAATGTAAATTTAAGATATTCATCAAATTAAAGCTGTGTTCGCTGACTTTCAAACTAGTATAAGTAATAGTAGTCTATAGTCATAGTAATGGAATTCATTTGTGTAGAGTTAGTAGTCAGGGGTGGATCCAGGATGAAATTTAGCGGGCCCTACTCAGTGCTTCGCCGAGGTGTGAAGCACCGAGGTGGGGTGGGTTTGGGAGGGGGTGTTCCACCTCCCAATATTAGGATTTAAAATTTAAAAAAAGTAACACTAAGACAGTCGTACACGGCCTTCTAATGGAAGAATTAGATTGTGTTGCTATTGTTATGGAGTTGTGAAAAATATATTCGATAATTCATAAACACGTTTTCTGCCAAATGACTCTAATGACTGTTGTAGGTGCGATATATTATTATATATCATTATGTTGGATATTATGTTGGCATTAATTGATTATATACTCATAAATAAAATTCGCAAATACCGATGTACGGTAACTATACCAAAAGATTGTACTTTTATTCTATCATTTAGTGACCACATGTTCACCACGAGCCTTGTTTATGCGTGCCAGCGTAATCAACAAAAACCAACACCAACTGAAGTACTGTAGTAATAAATAGGCCTAGATATGATCTTTTCTTTTTTTTCTTTTTTCTCTCCCCCCTCCCCCTTTCTCTCTCTTTTTTTTTCCTTTTTTCCCCTTCCCCCCCCCCTTGTATGTATATTGACATATAAATTCATCATCATCATTAATACAAATTGGTGTAAAGTAGTTTCATAAAGTTATTTAAAAATTGTATATATTTTCGATATCAGTAATTTTCAACAGCTGAGAATTGTCTTCTACCACAAACAGTAGACAGCTTAAATATATAGTCTACATTTACACCTTGAATGTGGAAGGCATTTCTGACTTTAATAGGTTTTAATGGAAACATGTTATGGTTCAGTACCTTCAGGGTCAAACAAGCACTTTGTCAACTGCCAACTGCCATCTCAAATATCTGGCCCCCCTTAATGTGTTCTGATAAATCAGTGATATCGGCATGCTCAAATTTTAAGGTGTAATTATAGATGATATTTCCCCCTTAGCTACAGCAAGTTATTTTATAGTTGTTACAAGATTAGACCGCTATAAATGCTATTGTGATAAATCAGAGTTTTTTGTTCTAAACCTTTTTTAAAAGTGAAATAGGATAAGTGAGAGTATCTCCAAGTTTTAGATGTGTGGTTTTGATATAAAATATTAAATTTCCTTGCTTTTCACCAATTGTTTTATGTCAGATCTAACCATGTGAACCCAGTGTTGCACCTGACTAGTGATTGGCTGCATGAAGCATGATGTATAAACAATTCTGACACCGTTCTTTCCCAATTCTTGGTGTATGTTGAATTATACCCTTGGATTTTCCATTGTTTTTTCTCAAGGTATTGCATAATTAGTAATACACTGTATCATATGATTTACTAATTACTTTACTATTATTACTGATGGTATAAACCAAAAGTTTATACCACTTGGCCTCATAACTCAATTGGTAGAGTATCTAAAAAGTAGTCGGAAGGTCTTAGGTTTGAATATGGGCAAGATACATTTTTCTCTCAAAATTTATCATGCCTACTCGGAGGAGGCTTAAAACAGTCTTAAATCATTTTCATCATGGCGTTACAGGTAGTAGACTTAGGCCTACTGGTACTGGTATGGGCATTTATACTGCACCTCTTACTTGCAGTTATAAAGCGCAGTTCTTTTCCCTGAATATTGAGTTCACATGCTAAGTGTTGCTGCTAGTAATCAGCGCAGGAGTAGGCAACCCCACCAGGTACCCATGTATACTCCTGAGTGGAGAAAAGCAATGTGGATAAAGTGTCTTGCTCAAGGACACAAGCAAACTGCACAGCCAAAGATTGAAACCTTGACCTTGAGGTTGAGAAACTAAACCTTAAACCGCTTGCTAGATCGTCAAAGACTAGGAATTACACGACAAATATTCTGCAAGCTTATCAGCGTCTGTAAAAAACGGTCCACGCTTGTTTACGTTCTTTTTGATAAATATGCATGTTTTGAGCAAGCATAACAGCGCCTCAATAGTAGAACCTGCCCTCTTGTAATTTATTGGTGGAAAGTAATAATGGCCACTTTAGCCAAATGATTACGACATGTGTGAGAGCGACTACATTTAGACTGACGACCAGATACCGACCACAATAAATTTTTCAATATGTTGAAAACTCCGCGACCATGCACGACCTCTGCACTGTCACGAGCAAGTTGCTCTTAGCTGCTATCACACTATCACGACCTGGCTACTACGGTGTCGGTCGTGTACTGATCGCAGGGTAGGTCTCGATAGTGTGAGAGTAGCTTAAGTCTAAGTGATATAACCGGCTTTATTCGAGAAGTAAAGAGTATCAGTTAAGACGGTTTTATAGCAATCCACCCCAGAGGATTAACAATTTTTGATATGTTGTTCAACAGATTTTTCTAAGACATCAAAAGAGTGTTTGACGAAAAAACTTGGCAACAGTTAATGAGATACTGTAAAGATTACAGAAAAATGTGGAAAAAGTGGTGGTTACACCATTTTCTTACAGTTTATATATCAAAAATCTTTAGCCTGGTTCTCACGAGAGTCCTAGTATCCAGATCGGGAGCTAACTGTTAGTGCTAACCGTTAGCACCTGCGTGAGAACGCCCGATCCGTTAGCGCCAACCGTTGTCAGTATCCGGATACAGCTAACGATTAGCAAGCGCTATCGGTTAGCAAGTTGAGCGCATTTTTATCATCAACCAATCACAAGTACGCGTTTACAATTTCCAGTTTCTTATTGGCCAGTGATTCGATCATCATATTTTTGGCATCCGGATCAGGATTTTCTCGTATGGACGCACGGTAGCTAACGGTTGCTACTAACCGTTAGCAGCCGGCAGCTAACGGTTGCTGCTAACCGTTAGCAGCCGTGTGAGAACATAGCCTGTATCTCATTAACCATTCCCAATTTTTCGTCAAACATGCTTTTTGAGTACTAGAAAAATATATCAAAACATTTTTGCTTCAGTAGCCTGGCTTTAAAAAAGCACTTGGAAAATGCTGGATAAATTTCATGATAGTTTAGCCACAACTTTTCCGCTGTATCTTATGCCAACAAGTAGGTAAACCAAACAGCAGGAAATGGCCAGTGATTCTATTCTTTAAAGGTGTCTTTTTCATATTTAGGTATTTACTTATGACTAGCCTTATCAACTTGTAGTCATTGTACTACTGTATAATTTGGTCAAACAATCCAGCTGAATAGTAAACCACAGAATTTTAACTGAACAATTCACTTGGCCACATACAATACATCTGTGGTACTCAATTAAACCGAGCATTGAGACTAGACTAATACTCTGGATTGTTGGTGAAGCCAGCTATGAGTAAAGTTTTGCCTTCAAAATTCAATGGTCTTTAAACACAGCCATAACTCTCGTATGGAAAACAACAGCTACATTTTGTGGAAATAAATTATTGACTACTGAACAGAATTTGCCATTTTGCTATCAATCAGTCAACTTCATTTCAGAAACAAGTACATATAGGCCTATATTACAATAACTTATATTTCATTATTACTACAATAAAATGTGTAGTATTTGTAATATTATAAATACTAAATTTATTTTGACTATTGTTTTAAAGCCAGGCTCCAGAGGAAGAAATGTGTTGATATGCTGATTTTTCAAAGACACAGAAAACATATTTGATGAAAAACTCGTGAACAGTTTAATAAAATACAGATTTAAAATATTTGAAATCTGGGGTAAAAGGGGCATAAATCTGTATCTAATTAACTGTTGTAAAACATGTCAAAACATTTTTTGCTCTGGAGCCTGGTTTACAACAGCAGCCAAAAGATCAGTATTTATTTTCTTTTTATTACATATACAGTACTACACATTTTATTATAGATTGATAACGAAATATAAGCTATTGTAATATAGGCTTATATGTATAGTACATATAAAAAAAATTGTTTTCCTTTCGGAGCTTGGCTTTAAATAAATATCCAGTTATTTGTCGACTAATTAAATTGACCAGTCCTGTTTTATCCATGCTATTATTAATACCATCAGCCATCGTCATTGACATTAGGTGCAAGCAGACTTTACGTGATGGAATTTGATGCTACAGTATCATTATAATTTCTATTGATTGATTGATTGATTGATTGATATATTAAGCTCCAGTTTATGCCATTCTGTCAAAATTCACATATTTTTAGTGAGATATTTTAGAATTTTCTGTAATTAATTATAATATTATTCATGTAAGGTCAGGCTATGCCATAATGTTGCTCTTCCCTCTGTAGTATTCCTATTACCTTAATCTTCGTTTTCATCTTTAGTTTCCTTAATTTATTCTTGTTCACTTAATTTGTAGATCTAAATAAATCTAATCAAAGCCTCTCCATTTACCTGTATTATCTATCTTTTTTTATCCTTTCCATTACAATCCATCATCCCGTCTTCATCCCTTTTACATTACCATAGATAAATCATAGAAATTACTTATAGAGAAGATGAGATTTAAAATATAAAGATCAACATTTTATAAAGATTGCAAAGTAATCTAATCAATCGGACGAACTGAACACCAAAGGAAGATACACATTTAGAAAGCGTCATAAATCACAAATCTTGTGAATCTAGTCTTTGTTTTTTTTTAATAAATATTAGAAAAACATTTTTATTTACAGATTATTTAAGTCAGAGAAAAATATATCTTCCATTACTTTTATGCGTATGCTTATACTACGGTCTCATTAGTGAAATATTCCAATTCTTGGAATATAATTCTAACATTTCCAGCTTTATAGGGATGACCAATCAGAAGGAATATTTTGTACACAACATATGGCCAATTCAAAGTCATCTATGATTTTTTTTTCTGAAGTATTTGTAAATGTCAGCTGAGCTACTCATTCAAATCACATGGCTTTTGCTTAGGAAATGATGTAAAGTACGAGATAGCTTATAATAAATCAGCTGGGCTTATACTTGAGAAACTACAGTATATTTAATTCTGGATTTATATAGCGCCTCACGTAAGCAGCGTAGGCAGAAGTTACCTTGAGGTAACTTCTATTATCGTTAATGGAACCTAGCTAATGATTTAAAGATGTTATTGCATAACCTCAAGAGGGAACTCTAATGTTGTGGACATAATCAATCAAACATTCTCATTTTAAAACACCTGTGTGTACAGTAGTATTTATTTTAGTGTATACACATAATATACAATGGGCAGCAAAAGCTGAAAATATTCTATTTACTTAAGATTATAATAAAAACAACAAAAAAAACAACAAAAAAAAAACAACATACATTTAAACAACATTTAATAAACATTAAAATAAATATTGAGGCCTAAACTAAAAAACAAATTAAACAGCATTCCACAAACAAAGTATGCAAGTTTATTTTTATATATTTTAATGCACTATTTATGTTAAATGATACATTTCTATTGAAGTTTATAAAATGTTGCAGTAGGCAACATTGCTTAAGTCCTTGGATAGGGTAAATTAATAAGGCAATTTGCATAATGAATTATAAATTCATTTTCAAGTATAATCTGAATCATTAGTACAGTACTGTACATTTTTAGTACTAGCGGAGGAGTCATGTGATTCATCATAACAACTTTTTCTTAAGCACTTTTGACTATGCCACTCCCCTCAACAACATTGCACAGTCTGGCCCAAATGCAAAGTGTAAAGATGACACTGCGAGCTTGTGAGCTCTCAAGAATATGTTATAAACTTTACTTTAACTTACAGATATTTCTCATTTGGTAAAAACAAGTTAGAAGATGACAATAGAGATAAAAACATCCGTCACAGGATAAATAAACTGCTAGGAAGTTATCGTAACTCAACTTTTGACCCATAAGACTCAATTATTGATCTAGCTGAGGATCCAGCTTATAGTACTTTGTTTCTTTTCTACTGGAGTCATCTCAAATCATGTTGGAATGTTTCGACAGAGATTTGAAATTAAGCTTAAATCATTCCTTTCCAATTTTTCTTATGCCTTTTGATGTGAAAAATCAAACCCTTGAGAACTCTGCCCTCCTTTCAAACTAGCTGACATACTATGTCCTAAACCCTACTCAAATGCTATTCAATTCCAGATACTTGAAGAGTTTAATATAGGTACAGTAGTAGTAGTAGTCTGAATTCTCCATCTCATTCAAAATTTAAGTAGTCGATCACTAAAGTGACATTGTGGTTAAGTGCTTTCCTTTTTAATCCCAAGGTCTTGGGTTCAAACATGGTAAAACATAGTTTGAGATCATAATCTGCCTAGTTTTCTTGAACATATTGGATTGCAAATTGTAAGTGTTCATAAAATTCTCTTTAAAAACATATCCTAGAGCATTTGTCTACTAGCCTTCTCCTTTCAGCCTTGCCACAAATTGTTGGAAATTTATTTATGTTTATACTGTATATATTTCATGTAAATTTTATTCTTAGTGTATAATGGCCCTTGATAACATTTGAAGCATAATAGAATTGAATTGAATTTAGTACATATAATTTGCTTGAGTTTTAAATTTTTTTACATAAAAAAAAAATGTTAAATATTACTTTATTTTTTAATTTGGCTCATTTTTTTACTATTAATTTTATTTGCTCTTTATTATTCATTGTGTATTTCTTTTATTTATTTAAACTTCACCTCATGAGAGTAAGTTTAAAATAAATAGGCCTACATAAAAGAAATAAATACTAGACTAATAAGAATTGATTTAGTGTCTTCTTCACTTGTTAAATATTACTTAAAAACAATTTTAAACAATGTTTGTTTTGAATTATCTTTTTTTACATTTAAACAGCTGAATATTGTAGCTCAACAAGATACTATATAACTGTCTAACAAGAGAGCAATGATTGATGTGATTGTTAAACATGGCCTTTGTATTTTTCTGTCAACAAACAAGAGTAACTTTGATGTATTGAGAATGTTTGTACGTCTGCTTTTTAGGGTTTTTTTTCCCAATATGTTAAGAAGAATTAAATACCATGTTCCAAATAATAGTAATTTATTATCTCTTCATGTTTGGTTACTATTGATTTTTTTTCTTCATGTTTACAGGCTTGCCGTAATATACTCAACGAGGGAAAATGCGTTGAGACATGTCCAGGTAATGTATTCTCGTCACATTCTGTTGCTCCAGGGTGGTTGAACGTTGTTTGTGTTAACGTATTCCTTTTGTTGACGTGAATCGCATACAATAGAGGCGGTCCATATAAGATCCCTATAAATAGATTGTTATTGTTCTTTTATTTTGTGTGTAGAAATGCCTAGGAGGCAGATGTATTTTGCTGTATTCATTTATTTATTTTTTTTGCGTCATACATAAAAATTGTTTTGAAGATATCAATGCGTACATAATTAACAAGTAATCTAAACATATTTTACATCATTATGAAACAAGCATTACTTATTTTTCTCTATATTATTTACCTATTTATAATTCAATTTTGTGTACACTTTTCACCAAGATCACCAGATTTAGTAACAATATAAGGCTGAAAAAAGATCAACCCGGACATGTGAAATCTAGCGCTAATTTTTTTTTTTATCATCAGGAAGTCAAACTATTTTGAAGTCTTATAATATAAAGCTGGGCACTTACTGCTCCCGAAGGTCTTCGGCTGACGCAACAACGCGCGCAGCGGGTCGTTTTTAATGACGATCCGTTTAGACTGCTACCGGCAGTCAGCAGACAGCATCGCGTAGTCTAGCGTATGCAGGAAGTGGAGTTGTATCATGCGACGCAGTGCATGCCCGGCAGCTTTTTCAACTTGCATCAGTGAAAAATGAGGTGACTCCAGTAGGGTGCTTTAATGGGGTTTGCAAAGAAATTTACAATCATTTGCCCTCTTGTCTACTTGTGTTAAGATGCAGCCAGTGACAATTTGACTAAACAAAAAGATGAGAATGAGCAGCAATCGAATCAAAATATGCCAATTAAGTTGGGCCACCCAACTGATAGATGTACAACAATGACAGTCAACAAGTTAAACATAGGCCTTCAGTAGGTGACATCCAATCTGTGCATGTTCTTTATACAACTACACCACCTGCTAGCTACACTATAACATTGTCTGATGTTAAAAATGAGTCGGGTATACAAAACACAAGATACTTGTAATTTTATACAGTACAGTAATTAAATTAGTCTAAATTAATAACAGAATTATTTGTACAACTCTACTAATGTGGTCAATGGTCATGTATTTTTGTAGCACCTTCCACAATAAAAATCGTCTCAAGGCGTTTTTAAGCCGTTAAAAAGCACGACAGGTGCAAACGTAAAGGGTCAGAAGGGGAAGGGATGCATACTCCTACTTTTTAAAATATATTGAGATCATTTGAAGACATAATACCTACAGAGTACATTATTATTATTATGATAAGTATACAAATCATTAATGTATACAAGTACACATACACAACCGTTTCGCAATTGCTAAATAAATTTAAGATAGTATAACACAAAAGAACTCCAAAGAACATGATAGTTAAACTTTGTTCATTCCAGAAAATAAATTTTAAAATAAAACATCATTATGGCTTGTATCACTTTCATTAGAGTTTGCTATCTTTATTTTATAAATTATAATCACCTGAAGTAATTAAAAACAATCAGGTGTAAACAATTTATGATATACTAATTTCGCCTTATAGCAACACTAAGGTCATCAACTTATCATTATCAAGTTATCCTGTCACAAGAGAACCTTCATAAAGTCATTCATTAAGTCCTATTAAATTTTATGACAAAAACATGTGACATGCCTAAATATGGTCATGATGACATCACATCATGACCATTTATAGGCACAACATACTATACACTCAGGAGTGGATTTAAAGGGGCTGGGCTAGCCCCGACCCCACTCTTTTGGAGAGTAAAAAAAAGAATATAAAAAGAAAGAAAGAAAAAGAAAAAACTGAGCATCTAGAGAACAGAAATTCCTTTAGGAATTCCCCAGACCCCCTAGGGTAGTATTACCTTGATCGGCCCCACTTTTCAATTTTCTTTTGACAAAGAACTATTGGTATGCCCATAAATAGTTATGATGTGCCTGTATATTGTCATGATGTGATGTCATCATGATCTTATTTATGCATGTCATGTTTTTGTGTATGTATATTTACATGATTATAGGTTCATTTGATTTATATTTAGTGATTGATGTTTGATTGATTGTGATTTTCAAATGATTAATAATAGTGATGGATTAATTGTGATTGATGATAATGATTAATTGGCGATGATTGGCTGTAGTGAATAATGATTGATTGATGATATTGATTGGGTGATAGTAATTGGCTAATGATTAGTGACTAATAATTATTTTTATTGAATAATGATGATTATGAAAGTGATGATGATGATATTGATTTATTGATCATGATAGTGATGATTGATGAAGATAATAATGATAATCTATGATAATGATGATGGTAATGATTCATTTTTTCCTTCCTTTTTCTATATAATTTTTAATGAGGATCCCAATGGAAGCTAATCCTTTTGTTTAGATTAATGGGGTCATCCTGCATCCTGTTGTGTTTTTTGTATTTCTATGTTTATGGAATCGAAATAAAATCAACAAATTGACTGATTGATGATGATGGTAATGATTATTGATTATGGTGATGATGATGATTATTGATGATGGTGATGATGATTAATTGATGATAATGTTGGTTGATAATGATGATGATAATGTTAGTTGATAATGATGATTATTGATAGGTGATGATGAAGTTTTATGATATTGATGATGATGATAATGAATGATGATTGATGATCATTAATGATGGTGGTGATGATGGTGTTGATGATTGATAATGATGATATAGATTGATACTGATGATGATTATTGATAGGTGATAATGATAGTAATGATATTGATGATGATGATAATGGCTGATTGATTGATTGATTAATTCATTGGAGTACTGTTTAGTATTTGAATATTCTAATATTGATTTATTCTTAATTTACTTGTAATTCTTGTGTATTTCAGTATTTGTCATTTTGTTCAATGTTGTTCTGTATGGTGATCATGGTTTATATTGTATGTATTGTTATTCAAGCATTTTAGCTTTGTGTTACCGCTTTGTATTTATTGTTTTTATACCTCAATAAGTAAATAAATAAATTGGCATTATCATTTTTTTCCTGCAGAGGGTTTGGTCATTGAGGAGGGTAACTGCGTGTCTGAATGTCAAGCTGGTTGGACGGCTAAGGATGGTGTTTGTGTAAATTGTGGGACGAGCTGTCCAATTAGTAAGTAGCGTACACAACACAACCATATCATAAGCTAACTATATTGTTAAAAATATGCTGCTACTTAAATTTATATAAACTTTAAAAAAAATGAATCGTTAAATTTGTATACAGTTCAAGTATTTACTAGCTTTCTACTGCAGGAAGGAAAAACATATTCCTCACAAATTTACAGACGCTTAAATAGTACATTGCTGTAGTCTTGGGATATATTAAGGGACCTTGTATAGTGAAACATCCATAAATTAATTTTTGCGTTATTGTTTGTTCATATTTGTATACACTACACATACTAGACTTAGGCCTAGGCCAAACCTATACTATATTATTTAAATACACATTTTTAATAGAAGATCAATTTAACATGGACATAGTAATTCATACTTAAACAATACATTTAATTCAAATATAAATAATATATATAATAATGTTAACAAATAATAACAATAAATAAAATGTGGATAGTAAAACAGTAAAAACCTAAAACTAAACTAGAGTGCATGGAGAACCAATGTGTCCCATAAAACTAGCAAATTTAATATATTTGAGGTTTTTGTATATTTTATGTTGGATGATATACAGCAAAGTTCCGTAAACTGTGGGTCTCCAAGCAGTATGTATTTAATTTAATTTTTCAGGTTTTTGTATATTTTATGTTTAGATTTTTGTCTTTTAATTTTATGTATTTGAATTTTTGACGAAATAAAGAATTTTGTATTGTATTATGTTGTATATAGCAAGGTTCCACAAACTGTGGGTTGTGATCCACCAGTGGGTCACCAAAATATTTTGGTGGGTCATGAAGCCTTGACAGGAATCCTAATTCGGCTAGCTCAATTCTGTCGCTTATTATTATAGGCAGTATGAAAATTGGAAACATGATATTTTGTGAATTAAATGAAACCATAAATCTGCATACAGTACTTTGTTGTTCATTTGCAATTATACAAAAAGTACAGTGCGGCTATAATCATCATTGTTCATTATGATTTTCTCGTAATATTTATTTTTGTTTATGCATTTTTATCTAAATTTAAAATCCCAGTCCCAAAATAATGTACTTGGGCTCGCTCTCTAAATTAGGCATGTGTCAATTGAGACTTAGTATAATGTGCCGCATGGGTCAAAGATTGGATTGGATCATTGGGTCGCAAATTTCTGAATTGGGTCGTCGGTCCAAAAATTAGCTAAAAATTGGTATACAGTATTTTTATAAATTTGATTATTAACTATACTTTTCTCTTTTTTTTTAAAGCTTGTAAAGGCATTGACACTCTGGGATATGAATATGTAAATGACAGGAACATTGATTCATTTAAACATTGCACGGTAGTGGAAAACAACATCGTCATCTCTCAGAAAACATTAAAGGGGTAAATTTATTTCTTTGCAAAAATTCATCTGGTTTCAAAACTTTACAAAATATTTTATTTAATGCCATAATATTTATCTTAAAATAGTTTTATAATCAAGGCTCACTAAAAGTACTGTAGTAGCTAAAAAGGAGCAAACACGTTTTTTTAACAAAAAGAAAATATTTTATGTAAATTTATTTATTTATTTATTAATGTCCAAATTGGTTGAATTTAACGTGGTAAATTGGCGGGAATTGACCATAATGAAATTATTTGATTGTGTCAAGATGTATAGTTACAATGCATGTATGTTATTTTTAGATAAATGTGATATAAAAGAACTTAATTGTCATAAATCAAATGTAAAGTATGAAATGTTTCTGGCCTGTTGCTAGAAAGTACTGTAGTGCAATAATTTTTGAAAAGCAAGAAAAGAAAAATGTTGACGGATCACACGGAACCAGCTACAATATGCAGACCTAGTCTGAAAGTCCCATGGTATTTTAGTATAAAGATACCTTTGAAATGCGGTTTATTTTTTCATAAATAACAGTCAAAAAGTTGTCAACTGAAAAACACACAATCACATGAATTTGTCGAGGAATTCACAGCAAATATTTCTTTGTTTTTTCACTTTAAAGGGATTTCTTTCATGGCATTGAAGAACTCAAATTGCATGAATTATATGCACTAAAGGATGTTGAAGTGATACAGGGTTACCTAAAAGTAATTGATATTGAGGCCTTATCGCCTAAATCCAAGGGATTACAAAACTTGAGCTTTTTAGGTAATCTGAAAGAAGTCTGGGGAAATTCACTGGATAGGTAAATTACTGGCTTTCTTATTTATTTATATATTTTAAAGTAAAAAGATAATAATAGTGTTTACTTACATTTATCCTTATTGATATATTTTATGTATATATTTATATGTATCTTTGTGTGTTGGTTTTGAGTGGAGTTAAATAGCTTGGTGGTTAAGAAGCCCATCTTGCAATCCAAGGGTCCTAGGTTCAATTCTTGTGATAGCAGTATTTTTTTCTGACAATTATCGTAAATTTTCAAATAAGCTCTTGAATAAGCGCCACACCATACAAGATTTTTTTGCGCTAATTAATTAATTGGTTAATTCTGTTATTTTAATTTGATAATATTTTTATTAGTTGAATATAAACAGTATTTTTCAAGTTTACTCTGTTGTTCTAAAGCCACATTTATTTTAATTTGATTAATTTCATTTATTTAATTAATTTTATTAAATACAAAAAATTTATTTTGTTTAAGATGAATTGGGATGCTCTACATATAATAATTAATTCCTGTTCTTGAAGATAAACAGTATTTTTAAAGTTTACTCTGTTCTAAAGTCACTTATATTTAAATTGTCAGGATCATCATCTTCATCTTTTTTTTATTCTTCTTTCTTTCTCCGCTTTTCTGTTCGCGCGCTATCTCAAAATTGTCGCGAGCTACGCACAAGCGCACTTCAACAAACATTTGGCCTCTCCTGAAATAGTCACAGTAAGGTTTTCAAGGTGACCAGTAATGCGTGACGTCATTAACGCGCAATTTTGCATTTTTACATTATCGATCATATCAGCCTAACCAATTGCCATTTCGAAATCGCATTAAGTGAGCATTAACTTCAGGTCAATGTTGAATGTAATGTACCCTAATTTTACGCGTGTGTTTCATAACGTGCGCGTACGCGTGCATCAAAATTTCAAAATGCTGGAAATCACTTTTTGACTAAATTAGAGCACGTTTCAGGCCATTTTGAGCATTTTAAAATTTTTTGAAATTTTCCATTACGCGCGCACATTTTTATGCTCGCAGCACGTACGGAAGCTAGAAATTACGTTTTTTTTAATACATATTTTGGGTTCCTGACATTGTTTTCACAAATTTCCATTCTTTTCAGGCATCTTATGGCCAATAGCAATGCCGTACGCGCGCATCAAACATAGGGATCTTTGCGCGCGTTTGTGCCGACATACAGTGAAAATATGTTAAAATCAGGCCTCCAATTTTTATTACATATTCTGAAAGCACATGAGTCTTATAGATCATAATGGCTGATCAGACATTGTGACGTTATCATATTGCCATCTGAATTCAAAAAACTGAATTTTTATATGTGGTAAATATTATGAATGATAATAAGTCCCTCACCAACAGGCATTTGTCAATGAGAGTTAATACATATATCTCATCAGGAGTGAACATTTTGTGACATTACCATGCGCACTTGTGTCATGACGTGTGCATACTCATGAGTAAATCTTTTAAAATGCTCCAAATTCCTTTAAAAAAACTAAAACCATTTTCAGCATTTAAAAATTGTTCAGTCCGCACCGCGCACACTTCCTCGAAGGTCAAAGTGTTTGTATTAATTTCATTTATTCAATTAATTCAATTAAATACAAAAAATTAATTTATTTTAAAATGAATTGGGATGTTCTACATACAATAATTAATTCCTGTTCTTTTTTCATCTCTTATACAATAGTGGCGCTAGCATTTCAATCACAAGTACAAAGTCCTTGGAAACGTTGATGTTGCGTTCCTTGGAGCAGGTGAAAAATGGCAACGTAGTAATTAAAGACAATGAAAATCTGTGCCTGGTTAACGAGGCGAAGTGGAACAGTGGAATTTTCGATAATCAACAGAACCAACATATTGATATCTCAAACAACCGGAATAATGGTGTTTGTGGTAAGTTTCTTTATTTCCTTATGTGGGTAGTTTCTTTTGTTTTAAACCCCCGGTTGCCCTCGCCTTGTTTTTTGTGACCCAAAATCAAAATTTCCCATAAGACTGGCTACCCTCATGACAGTTTGTACATTAACATCTTAACATACTTACAGACATTATATTTCTCAAGCATATTTTGGTGATTGGGGCCTACTGATGTGCAGAATAGGCGCTCACCCGTTTTCAAACTTGTCCCCCAACATGCACTGACTTTCTCAAATATTTCAGACAAGGTTTTTTTAACAATTTGTATCCCAGACCAGGCCCGTAACCAGGGGGGTTCGGGGGGTTCGGACGAACCCCGTCGTTTGCTAGCTGGCTCTGCTTGGATGGCAAAAAAAAAAAAATCTCCAAAGAATATTGCTTAAACTTAAAAAAAAAACAAAAAAAAAAACAAAAACAATCATGTTCAAATAATCTTTATAGACAGTAGCAACTTTTAATACAAGTTTCAAGATGGAACTCTTATTTATGTGGTCAGCGCAATTGGTTGGTCGTTAACATCTTCAAAAGGCTCTACTTTTTCCAAATTTGAACCCCCCAAACAAATCCTAGTTACAGGCCTGCAGACTTTTCGTAACTCTGCTGTGGACATTTCATAATTTGTAATGCCTTGGTTATGGAATGTGTGCAGCAGAGTTATGAATAGTTTGGGTTATAAGGAAACTAGGTTACCAAAATGTTGATATCTAACTCCCCAATCCTACTTGCGGAAATGTTATATCATTGAAATATATACAGTAGCCAACACCGGGATATAATTGGCCTACAATTAGCTTATACACTTTATTACGCTTGACACACAACCACATAATTGTATAACCCATAAAATTCACTTTCTTTGGAACCTGGGTTTAAAATGAAACTCCGAAAATTAGAAATACAGTACCTCTCTTTTAAGACATCCCAGTTATGGGTATACTTTTTCAAAAGTATATCTTTTAACACTATAGTCAAACCTTATTCAGGGGACACTCCAATTAAGGGACACTATTTTTTTCCTAAAGGTAGGGTTGTGCTATACTGTTCAGTAGGGGTTAGTTTCTACCAACAGTAGTTGAGGTAGTTAAGCCTGTTATAGGTACTACAATAAACAACAGTATGCAACAGGCTGCTGAGTAGAGGGTGCTGATGGTCACCCAGCAGCAAGAAAAACCAACAGCTGAACAAAGGGCAGATGAACGGGAAAAAGGGGGTGGTTATCCTTCTTTCTCCCACATTTTTTAAATATCCAAAAAAATCTGTCTATTATTAACCATTCCAGAGTTTTCGTCAAACAACTTTTTTGTGTCTTAGAAAGATCAGTTCTACGTATTAAAAACATTTTTCACTCCGGAGCCCGACATTATTTATTGGACTACCGACAACATTCAGCAACACATAGTAGTTGTGTATGAACCGTCAGTGTTGAAAAAATAATTTGATAGAATTTGACTTCTTTACATAGAATTTGTGTGAATGAAATGTGATTAATATGCTTAATTAAGTGTGGCTCTAATTTCAAGAAATAATTGATGTCCTATTGGAGGGATGATTCTATAAAAGTAGCAGAAAACTTCATTTTCATATTTATTATTTATGTTTTTTATATTGTTATCATCATCATTGGCACGATTTGTGTTTTGTAGATAATCTTGGATATAGGTGTGATGATGAATGTTTGGGTGGATGCTGGGGTGTTGGTAATAATTACTGCTTCCTTTGTCAGAACTATCAGATTGATGGCAGTTGTGTTCCTGCTTGCAATGCAACTAAAGGGTAGGTTTGCTTCTTGATTTGTTGACTTATAATGATATAGCAACGTTAGTATTATTGTTGATAAAGGTAGGAGGAGAAATATCCGGTTTATTACATGTTAAAACTAACAGCTGAACTAAAAATGCACCGACCTGTGTAAGGTAGGATTCTTTAGCGTAATGGTAAGGACTCACAACGTCACACTTGCTTTTACCATTGTTGAGTCTCACGGACATCAAGTTGTTTTCATGTTTTTCTTTTCTTTTACTTCATAATTCTCTTTAGTATGATTTTATTTTTGTTTTTCTTGTATTTTTTACTTGCAGAGAATATGTTGCAGATGAAGAGAACTATTTATGTGCTCACTGTGATCCACAGTGTGATGGTGATTGTACCGGTCCTGTAAGTTATTATCATTAATCATTATTTAGGCACATAAATCTAAACTTCAGCTTAACTCTGACAGAGCTGCTCATGGTGGTGTTTTCAACCTTCAAAATATAGCCCATTTTTCTGCATTTTTAATTAATGAATTTTTTACATTTTATATAACAAACAGACGGATGGGTCACCACTCTGGTGCATTCCCTGATTGTGATTGAATGATAATGTGACTTTAGTAACTCAATAATTCTAGTCAGTTATCTGTGCGCATGCCACGCTCCAAAATATTTTTCTTTTGTTTTGCATTACACTGTCACTACTTCAGGATATGAATGGGTACTTAGTAGATGTGAAATTGGTTTACTGGCAATATTTCCCTGGGAAGTAGAGTGGAAATGTTCCTCAGGGAAGTAGAGAGTGGAAGTTCGTCAGGGAAGCAGAGGAGAGATCCATTACTACCCTTGTGCATTTCTGGACGTCTGATTGTGATTGAATGATCATATAACTTATATGTTCTCCAATAACTTATTAATTCTAGTCAGTTAACTGTGCGCATGCCATGCTCTAACATATTTTATTTTAACAACTTTCGATATTAATACATTTTATATTGATAAGTATGACAGTAACAAAAGAAGGTGTTCAGACAGAAGTTAAATTTATACTCATAATAATTCTGCTTATAATGAGGTGATCTGTTTCTTGTAGGAGCCATCGGATTGTGTTGCTTGTAAGAATGTTTTAGATTCTGGAAAATGTAAGGAAGCATGTCCAGCACACAAGTATCAGACTACCTCGCATGAGTGCCTGGATTGCCATGAGAATTGTGTGTTAGGGTGAGTACAAAATTTAGCTATATATTGTTTCGATTTCGATTAGAATAAAATAGATGGCTTTATTCTGAACATCCAATTAGTATAGGGACATTGTTTGTACTTGGGGTCTAGATAATTAAATTCATTTTTTAGGAACACAGACTAAGGATTGTGAATATTGCACACCTCAATTGTATAAAGCTGTTGCTTTGAACAACAACATATCATTATTTTATTTAATAATTTGTACTGGGGAACCTGTTTAGTAACAAGCATCTGAATATTAACTGATTCCAAATTATTTTGTATCCAATTTGTTTTTACAGTTGATTTAAAATGCATAAATATATTTATCTTTAATGTTGAAACAAATTCATCTGGTTGTTTTTAGTAGTCACCTTTATTGGTTGATTAAAAATAACCTTAAAACCTATATTTATCTTTGTTAGATGTACTGGCCCCCTCTCCCTGAAGAGCACGGGTGGATGTGACGACTGCTACGTCATTGAGCTTGACATCAATGATAACAATGTAAGTGAAGCAGTGTTTAAGCTTTATCCACACTATCAAATTTTCTTGTATGCCCATATACGGTCATGATGTACCTATATATGGTGATGATGTGATGTCATCATGACCATATTTAGGCATGTCACATATTTATGTAAATTAAAATTTGATAGTCTGTACAGGGCCTAATAGATTGTCCAGTACATTAGCAAATTAGTTTGTAAGGTGTAAGTGTTATCAAACACTCAAAATGACATATTGTATGTACATAAAGATAAGGCAGAATATGAAGATGAATGTAAAAGGGCTGATTATGTCCTATTTTGTTTTTCATTTCTTCTTGTCTCTACATTTTAATGATTGGTTCAGTTGATATAACTTGTATTATGAGGCAGTCAATTTATTTTCAATATAAACACACAAGAATAATAGAAACTATACCTAAAAAGAAAGATACATTAACTGAATTTTTTTATCTTCATTGCAGCCAAAATGTCTTCCAAGGGAAGATCCTTGCAATAATGGTTACTATGAGGTGCCAGGTGTAGCTGGTGCTAGGGTAAGTACAGTTTGCTTCAGTGCAATTTATAAATAAGGAAGAGAATCATCACTTTTTGTGGAAGTAGTTGATGAAGTCATCCTCATCCTTTAGGTCAGAGATCAGGAGTTCAAATTCAAAGACTGTGTCCTCAATTCATTTTTTTTTTTGCATTACACTGTCACCACTTCAGGATATGAATGGGTACTTGGTGAAATTGGTTTACTGGGAATATTCCCCATGGAAGTAGATGTTGCTCAGGGAAGTAAAGGATGGAAGTTCTCCAGGGAATTTAAGGAGGGAAGTAGAGAGTTGAAGTTCCCCCATGGAAGTAGGAGATAAAAATTTCAAATGGATGTCGAGTAGTGTGAATAATTATACATAGGACAACAAAAAAACAAAAAAACCATGATATAAAGTAAAATTGTATTTGATATTTAGACCTAACAATTCTAAAACTTTTCAGCTACCATACAATCCTCAAATAATAATAATAATAATAGTAATAATAATAATAATATCATATCTCAATCTAGTTACACATTATTAATTTCTTAATATTTTTACATCACATTCTTATTGCAGCTGTGCCGAGAGTGTCACAGCCTTTGTGCAACTTGTAACGGCACCAGTGATAACTGCTTAACATGCAAACTATATGACGCTGATGATAAATGTGTGGCGAGTTGCGGGGTGGACTACTTCAAAAACAGTAAAGCAGGAAGATGCATGCCATGTCATGAACAGTGTAACGGTGGATGTCTTGGGCCTACAGCATCTGACTGCAAGGCTTGTGCCACAGCCCAGATCGATTTCAGTGGAGGGAAAGTAAGTTGATTGGATTTTTTTCTGGAGAAAAAAAAATGATAACCCACACTATTGTGAATACTTTTTCTAGTTGATTCCAGTTGGTAGTGAAATTGGCAGTACAGTAGAGATATTCCCCCGCTTTGAGAGTGTTCTGTGATTTTTACTATACAAATTGGCCAATACAGGGCCGACACCTTTAACATGAGCTTTGAAAGACGGTGCGCTATTTTAAACTTACATTCAGCCCTCCAACTGAAACACAAGGAGAGCGAGTGAAGGAAATAAACCGGCGACTAAAGGCCAACTTAGCTAAACTACTCTAAAAAATGTAGTCACTATTCCTTTATTATCATATGAAATTCTAGTACTACATGAAAAAATCTGGAAACTCTTAAAACATGGCAATTAAATCATTAATTGCTTATTTAAAAGTTCAAATAAGTTATTAATTTCAAGTAAGAAACAGATGGAATTAATAAGTATTTTTTGCTGATAACTTTTTTGATAATAGACAATTATAAAAACTACAAAAAGATTACCAACTATCAAATTCATGGATAAGTCTATGATAATAACAAGTTTTTATTACAAACATTCAAGCTTTTATTGGATTGACATAAGTTTATATTTCAGCTGAAGTAATGTTATATTAACTGTTCATTGGAGTTGAATGTCTTAGTGGTTAAGATACTTTCCCTCTAATTCCAGGGTCCTGGTTTCAATTCCTGTCCCAGTCAGACTTTTACACTCGACCAAAAACAACTCCATTCCCTAGGCCTCAATAAAAAACTTAAGGTTTATAAAGCATTGTTTCATCATCTACTTGCTGTTGGATGTAAAGAAAATAAATAAAAATATATAGAAAGAAAATTAGCAGGGAAGTCGGTATGGCGTAATACAGGGACTCTGCGATGCTTGAATGCAGCCGGTCACATGACTTAACTTGGGTATACATGAAAAACATTAAAGTGTGATAGTATAGGGGAGATAATGTTATGGTTGTGAAAACAACCACCCACTGTTAAGGTGAGAAATAAATGGCTAGGAAAGGCAATATGATTGTTCAATATACAGTAGTGTTTATTTACTTATCCTAGCGTTCTCCAAGGATTGTATGCTTTGAAATTTAAGTGATCCTTCATAAACCTTAGCTAGCCCTAATATTGCAGCGTAGTTCACGGGTCAAAGATTATGCATAACTAACCATGCCGTAGATGTGAAGGGGCCTAGGCCTAATATTAGTTGAAAATCTCAATGTTTGCAGCCAGTATCCTCTACAGCATTAGCAAAACGTTAAGGCAAAATTCCCAAATTTAATTTCCAATCAATTTTGTATAGATTACTAGTTTACTATAATCGTCTTTACAGCAATAAACAAGGGACAGCTGCAGTAGTAATCTCCATGTAAAACACTACTGTGCCAGTCGATTGTTTACATCCACCCAAGTTAGGTCATGAGATGCCCATCGCCGAATCCCTCTATTGTTTCCATTCTGGTTATTGAATTTGTGGTCAGGAGTTCAAAACAAAAGTTAGATACCCCCAACTTGCATCTTTAATGGGCTATGAAGGGCTATGAAGTTGCTCAAGCTATGTCTTAGCCCTAGGTGCAAGTATTTCATGCCTTATAAATACAGCAGAACCCCCCCCCACCCCCTTTGGGACACACCTATTAAGGGAACATTCCTATTAAGGAAACACTTTCCTGCCATGTAACAAAAGGAAGTATATTCCTTTTATAAAGGTAAAGTATAAAAGGGCCAAACTATATTCTGGGCACACCCCTATTAAGGGGACATTTTTTTTGGTTTTGGGGTTGTCCTCTTAATAGGAGTTCTATTGTATAATAAATAAAAAAGTAACCCCTTACATTTTAGTAGCTTTTTGACCTTCTTTGGGGTGAGTTCAATACAGAAAAATGTGCAGAAAGTATGTAAGCAAAAATATTATAAATATATTGCAGAAATTTTGGAGTATTGTTCAAATTCTTTGCAAACTAAGCTAAACAACGAATACCCAATATATTTTATCAAGGATATTTCCCTAGTGAAGATATTCAGGCCACGGCAATGATGATTATAACAATACCAATGATACTTTCTAAACCTCAGTAAAAAAGCAGACCTATGTGAGGCCTGCAAAGTTCCCAAGATATTTAACAAGTACTTTTTTTGGTCACACGTATGTTCAGTTCTGCATATCAGATGTACCGACTTTTATCGAATCCTGTGAAAGTAGTGATTCTCAATAAGGAAATAGTATCCTAATTAATTAGTTTTCTTTTTCTCTGATTTAGTTTGAGTGTGTCAGAACATGCCCAGAAAATTTGAAGGATGCTACTTGCGAAGATGGGTAAGAAATACATGATTTTGTTCTACATTTGTATAAAATCAGTAGCCATATAAGTCAACTTGGAAATTACTTTTTATAGTTTGCACTACTAGTTGAAAGTTGAACTCTTGAAAATTTGCATCAACTTTTGTGACCAGATAAATTTGTGAAGCATATTACTTACAATACATATCATTCACATATAGACACACATTCTTAAGATATTATAAAAGCTTAACCAAGGCCTATCTTATGCGTAAACTGTAAGGTTATAGCATTTTATTGTATTAATTCAAACATATTCATTCAAAATTATTCATTGACAGAATAAATGAAAAAAATCCAATAAAGTTACTATCTGTTGATAAAAGGAATGGATAATGGATTAAAATAAAATGGATTCAAACTCTATTAAACTGATTTACACACTTTGGCCTTAAACATATAGAAGAAATTATTTTATTTTATTTATTTGTAATCCCCACCAATAGCAAATACAAAATATGCCATTTACTATTGGGAACAACAAACAGATACATGGATATCTGTAAATGAATAAATAATTTGAATGAATATTAACTGAATTACTGCATTAGACCATACCTCAATGATTAGACATGCATTTTTCAAATCCCATCTTTATTTTCTATGATTTAACGTCAACATCTCAAAATGTTAGCTAAATTAATATTGTTTTTCTTTATATAATTATGCACACTGCTGTAATCCATATAGCTCTATTATTCCATTTATCTTGAAAGTCCTAAGAACATAACCTTTACCTTTAGTAATAAAGTTATGACCGTGGTGACCTGACATCCATTTTTCATCCCTGGCATTGGCTACTGGTATGGTCCTGTATTTCATTAGTGCCTTCCTACAAGCACCATCTGAGGGCACTATTGTTGTTATTTTTCAGGCAAACATGAACCAATAATTCCTACAGCCAATCTGTTAGGTAAACCAGGTCATGTGACCAGAAAATGCATCTTGAAATTGACAATATGATAAACAAGGCATTAAAGGATAAGAGACATTGTTAACTTAGGTTTATTAAAGGGTTGAGAGTGTGTAAGTCAGAGGATTAAGCATGAACATTTGTCACTCGTTGATTACTCAGTGCTTGATCAAAAATGTATGCTGTTAATGTTACAGTCTCCTTCTGCCTGAGCGAGACATGATCCATTTCTTTTTACGCATGATGATAAACTAAGCATGGACTTGTCAATAAATTCTAATGTAACTGGCATCTTTATTTATTTTTCTATTTATTTGTTTATCTTTTTATTTATTTACTTTTTTTTCAAAAACATTTTGTACTGATCTTTTTTCCTAATGCATTGTCTGTGATAAATGTTAATATAATTAGTGTATGCTTATTTTATATAATTTATTGTCAGTAACCTAACAATATTTGTTATTTCCTCATTGAAATATAACAAATACAATTCAATTCACTTATTTAATTGTCATGTATGAAACCTCAAAAAAACTATGTAAAGAAATAGTACAGACAAAAGAAGCATATAATATTAAACCTACATATCAGATATATAAACCTAAAAAAGTATTTAAAAAATTGTTTGTTTTGATGTTGGTCTACAATAGGTTTTGGCTGTAGTGCTAGGAGTTTTTTATGTCAGACCTCTTTTATTCTTTTGTGTATTATGAATTACAAACTGGGTGTAGCCTACCTAGGCATAAACATAATTTAGTACTCCAAATGCAAACATCATCTCTTACTTTTTTTGTTTCTATTAAATAAATTAAAAGTAAAGTAATTTTCACTGCTCTCTGATACTTTTACAGTTTTATTTCACTGTTTTCACTTTCTCTTATTGCAAACAACGCAAAGATTAAAGTATCACAACATGTTTAAGGAATTACATTTTATTCGTTCTTTTACTTTCTTCTTTCCTTTACAAAGAACATAAATACAGTATTAAATATCACAACATAGGCCTATTTGATTACAAAAAATAAGTAACATTTTTTTTTGTAATTTCAAAATCAACTACAATATTATTTTCTATTCTTTATCACAAATGACATTACAGTAATTAGCTATGTACAATAGGCCTACTATAAAGATATAATTTTACAATATTTTTGCATTACATTCTCCTATCAAAAGAAATTAATTCAAGAATGTTTTTATTGGCCAACCATAGTTGTTGCATTTAAAAATACAAATATTACAAGATATATAATAATAATAATAATAAACAGGCCTAGATGTTTGTCATTTGATAAAAAAAGGGAAATAATATGTTATTTGAAAAAAAGTAATTCAAGAAATTTCCAATAAAAATATGGTCACAATGGTAAATTTAAACTTAAAGAACAGTAAATAATTATCTTATAGTATTATGTATATATTGGGCTATTCCATGCCAAAGTGGAACTGTATACAGATAATTTTGCTTACTTAGTAAATAAGTAAATAGATATTTGTCATTGGTAATAATTTTTTGTTCCACATTTTTCACCTAAATATTTTTCCAAACATATCCAGGGATCAGATTATAAACTTTTTTGGGGTAAATAATACTGTTTTCTTTTAATAATATGGGTTTATTCAGTAGTATTAGGCCTACAATTTGAATAAAAAAAGTTATATTCATGAATGATTTTTATATCATTTTATATTTATCTGATATGGTCTTTCAGAAATAACAACCATAAATGCCATCAATGTATTTTTTTATTAAAGTTTTTGAGAAATCACTATTAATTATTAGACTAAAAAAAAGTTGAATAAGTAGAATAGTGCCTTTATGTTGTATGGCCAGACAAACTGAATTTTCACAACCTGTAGAATGAGTTACTGTAGCATGGGTTACTATATTTTAAGTCATGGTAAAATTATGATTGAGAGGTATTACTTTTTTGTTGCATTATTATAAACATTAACATACTGTAGTAGATACCTGCTATGTTCTGTTACTTTTGATATGTTAAAGAATATTGAAATGTGAAATATCACTGAAAAAGAAAATATAGTAATTGCATTCTACACAGGTATCACACAACCTGATAAAATAATTATTTATACAGTATATATTAATAGTAATGAAAGTATAAATAATATTACAAAATTATTATATGGAATAAAAAAAAGAAAGCGACAAATAAAATATAGTCATTGCTTTATAAAAGTATCACAAAAACTTGATAAAATAACTATAATGTAGTATTTATCATTAATACTGAAGGTATTTTAAAAACAAACAAATAAAATATCACATAAAATTATTGAAAATTATTATATAGGCTCTTTATAGCAAATCCCTTTATAGCACTTGTCAAGAATATATTTAGTAATGAATAGTAAATATTTATTTGTGAATAATTGTCGTATCAATACACTGGAAGTGAAAATATTCTAAATTTTTACTTTACTTTATGTTAATAAATAAATGCTACTAATAGTAAATAAAGTAAATAAATACTGTAATAAATAAAGAGATATTTGTCATTGGTAATAAAGAAGAAAGGAAAATAATATTTATTTGCTTATTGTTTGTAATAAAATAAGAAAAGTGAGAAAGATGAAATGACACTGAAAAAAGAGTAAATGAAATGTTGACTGTAAAAAAAAAACATTTTTTTTAGAAACCACTCAATTGCATAATTAAGAGAAGCTATCCAGTTTTGCATTTGGAGTACTAAATGTTTATGCTTAGGTAGGCTACACCCAGTTTGTAATTCATAATACACAAAAGAATAAAAGAGGTCTGACACAAAAAACTCCTAGCACTACAGCCAAAACCTATTGTAGACCAACATCAAGACAAACACCCCATTGTGTGCACCCACCTTACAATGGTATAATCCATTGATGAGTGGCTTTCGACAAGGGTGGCTTTCGACAGGGGTGGTTTTCTTCCGATTTCCGAGTCATTAGCACCCAAGATGAATAGAAATGTTTCATTGACAGACATATGAACAAGAAAAATATTTAAAAAAAGGAAAGAAAAATATATATATATAAAAAGGGATGAAAAAAATAAATTTTCACAGGGATTGATTTGAGTTATTTACAAATATATATAAATAACAATAACATATACAAAAGTTGTAATGAAGTATATCATAATATATTCTATTAAATATTGAATCCCTATTATATGTATTGTAATTAGAAATATGTAATGTAAAGTATTTTCTTGTTATTAATCAAGCATTGCAATTGAATGAACCCAATCATGTTTAAATAGACAACAATTAAAGTATTTTCCACAACCGTTTCTTTTCACTTTCTTTTTTTTTCTTTGTATTTAGTTCGGGTAGCTCTGTCGTTGGAATTGTAGTAGGGCTTGTTACTGCAGTTCTCGCTATTGTAGGGATGTTGATTGTGGTTTTGTACTGCTACTTTAGACGAAAGAAGGAATCTAAAGAGTATTATGATTTACCAGCTGCAGTTGTAAGTATTATATTGATTAAAATATTTTATAAAAAGGTATTTATTCAAACGTGTTACGTGTCTTAAGGAAAAAGTATCTGTTAAGAGATCTTGTCTTGTCGTTTAAGATGCTTAAGAAGAGCGCATATCCAGTGGCGTATCTAGGAGTCTTGAAGTTGGGGAGCTCATGTGGGGCGCGAAGGTGAAGTGGGAGGGCTCGATGATCAGTTGAGGGGGCGCTAAATCGCAAATAAGGTGATTTTAGGTGATTTTTAACAATTTGCCCATGATTCTTAGGGGCGCGTCTGGGAGTGGGCCCCCCTCCCCCACTAGATACGCCACTGGGCATATCACATTGATCTCTGTTTCAAATTTGTGCATTGAATACTAGTGTTGTATCAGCAAAATCAAATGGATTTTGAAAGCCTCAATGACCCAGTTGGTGTGGGGTGTGGATGAGACAAGTTGCAATATATGGCTTAAAAAATGTTCAAAAATTCAAAATGTTGAGATGTAACAATAATTATAGAAATAAAACATGATATGATGAGACAGGAAAATCAGGTGAAAACGAGGCTGATCACTTTTTTCAGTAGCTTGGTAGCATTTTCTAACCAACTCATTAAAATTCATGACCAGTCTGTCATTTTTGGCGAGCAGCTGATCAAGGAATCGTCTCGACGATGATCGAGTGACTTGCCTAGACAATACATACAGTAGTGTGAAGTTTTTGTGATCGTTTACGTACACAGTAAGAGAGACAGGGTTTAGTCAGTTTAATCATGGAAAGATAATTCAGTTGAATTAATAAACGTATATCAGTCCGATGACTTGTTTGTTTATAATTAGGCCTACACCTATGCCTATGATTAACACAGTCAGTGTCTACACAGCAGCAGTAGCAGCACTCCACGCTCGCTGTGTCCAGTGTTTTATGCTAATTAAGCATTCAAGCAATCAAGTTCATTGTGTGATTTTCTTTTTCTTTTTTTTTTTTTTTTAGTTTTCCAGAATGGAATAACGTTTGAACCGACGTTGAATCAACGAACATTAATTGTATAAATACAATAAAAGTCAGATGTAAAAGATTACATGTTTTTTTTTAGAATCAATTGTGCTGGCCATATTGTTGTATCCTACTATACTTTTATAACATTTATGAGTATAAATATATAATAATAGTAATGGAAAAGAACAAGGATAACATATTTTTTAATATTAATTGCGCTATATTTTGTATCCTACTTTACTTTTATAAGGTTTATGAGAATTTTTTCACAAATAATAAAGTATATTAATGTCATTTATGATTGTGATATTGATTTTAATAATCATTCATTAGTAACTGTATTTTTAGGGTTTGGTTTTATGGTTTGTATAATGTACAAGATTAAAACATGAATAGATGAAGAGCTATGCTTGAAAAACGTATTATTTCGAAAAATGAAAATATTGGCAATATCGTACTTTACGCTTTAGCGTTATTATTATGTATTTGTGTATAGATTGCCTTTGCAGCCACTCTCCTTTTATAGGTAGATAGAATGTATTAAAACTAAATTTTATACCCACATCAAAAAATATGTTTATTAAAATTTTTAACAATTAAGACAATAAAATTAATTCACGCAGTTCTGTATTGATGCTTTTACTTTGTCATTAATTGAAATAAACTGCTTAAAATAGGCAACAAAATAGAAAGTTGCTTGTACTGCAAGTTGCCTAGTAACAGTGAAATCAGTAAGAAACATTCCAACAAGTAGGTATTGGGAGAAGCAGACACAAGGTCAGTCCTACATAGTTTGATTCTTTGTACGCTGCCAAATCAGGAATGTAGGCGCACTAATGCTGTTACTAGCCGCGAGAATAGCCGACTGGCTTGTTCTAGCCTACAAACATGTGTTGTATACTTTTTTATTTGCTTTTGCTTTTAAAACTTACGAAGTTTTATGAATAAATTCTGAACAGACATAACATGGATGAAGGAAGGAAACAGATGAAACATGTGCACCTATTTTTCTAGAGATTTTTGCGCAAATTTGAATTGGTTTTTGATGTATCCCCTCAAAATATTTTAGAAGTGGCAAGTTAGCGTTCAAATTTATTAAGATCTGCAATAAACAGGTTTAAAAAAAAAAAAAAAAATTGTACGCTGCGCTATATAAGGTCGCAGTCTTGGCTGACTGGATTTGGTTAGAGCAGCGTGCAAACATCAGAAAGAATACGGTACGGTAGTTGATCATCAATATCCACCATCTCAAAGTCACTCTCATAGCCAACAACTTCCGCTCTACGGAACACAGACAACGAAAAGAACTAAAATGGATTTAAAAACTCAAAACACACACTCACGGCCTCAATAAGGACTTATGATTCATTAGTGAATTTTCCTTCTGCCGCTAAATATTCTTCTTAGTTTTCGGTCACTTTTAGTTATAATTTTATTACTATTTATTCTGGTTTTATTATTATTTTGTTTTGTTTTTTGTTTTGTTTTTTTTGTTTTTGTTTTTGTTTTTATTATGATTATTATTTTTATTATTATTGTTATTATTATTGTTGTTATTATTATTATTATTATTATTATTATTATTATTATTATTATTATTATTATTATTATTATTATGCTATTAGGCCTAATCATTATATATTATTGTTGGTATTTTCACTCTAGCTTATACTATTGTAGAACTTATCTGTTTCATTTTTTCAAGATGCACTATATCTATATAAACTATATGCCTTACACAATACTATATATATATATATATATATATTTGTTTTGGCTTCCTTTTATTATTATGGTTC